TATTTATACATTTATTTCCAATAATGATAGGTTTGGTCCTCCATAGAAACCAGAGCCTGTCTGTATAATGTCTTGTGACGTCCACAGCCTACCCCAGTTACCACTACTGTGCATGTGTGTCAACGACAGAAAGGCAGATGTGGCAGTGAAAGGTGTCAAAGCAGTTTGGAGAGAAAAACAAAGTACAGAAAAAAAGAAAATGATTAATCCATTATTAAATTAGTCATCAATTATTTTAATAATCGATTTGTCTTCGATTAATCGATTAATCGTTGCAGGCCTATCTGTGACAATGTAAAATATACAAAAACTAAACATACTACAGTATCTTTACAGTCTTACTTTACAGTTATAATAAATGTTTATCAACTAATGTCTAATGTTACAAGCAATCATGGATCACTTAAAAAAGTTAAAGCTTTAACCCTAGAACTGAATGGTCTGTTGCACAGATCACCATCTATTTACCTTTTACCACCTGACAGTTCTGTACTTTATGTGTTTCCCCTCACACAGAAAGGAAGAGGAGCTGGACTCTAAAGATGCCATCATCCTCCACCAGTTCTCCAGGCCCAGATCTGGTGCCCCTTCCCTGTCCCCTTTCTGCCTTAAACTGGAGACCTACCTCCGTATGGCCGACCTGCCCTACCAGGTGACTTCATCTGTTCCATATCTTGTACAAAACCAGTGGTTTTTTTTCTGCTTTGTTCACATCATCCTTTCTGTCACCCAGAACTACTTCGACGGGAGGCTCTCTCCGCAGGGGAAGATGCCCTGGGTGGAGTACAACCAGGAGCAGGTGTTTGGGACTGAGTTCATCATCGAGTTTCTGGAGGAACGGCTGGGCGTGAGCCTGAACAAGGGTCTGACGCCGCGGGAGAGGGCCGTGTCCCGAGCCATCACCAAAATGGTGGAAGAGCACTTTTACTGGTGAGTTCAGACTTGGGATGGGGTTCGGTGTGGTCTCAGGTGACAGAACAGAGTAGAAACTTAGTTTTGTTCGTGGAAATGCAACAAATCTCCACAAATCTTACAAAACCAATAAAACGATCCTATTTTCTCCAGCTCTGAGCTGAGAAGTTTGTGTTTGTCTAAAAGGACCATAGCTTACTGTCAGTGGGTGGACAACCTGGAGGAGACCCAGAAGATGCTGTCGGTGAGCGGACCTCTGAGCGACCTGCTCAAGTGGATCCTGAGTCATCTGAACTGCGGGATCGTTAAAAGGGAGATGTACGGACACGGGATGGGTCGCTTCACCTCAGAGGAGGTTTACAGGTTGATGGAGAAGGACATGCGCACTCTGGCCACTCTGCTAGGTAAAGATTTTGTTGTCATGACTGATAATCATTAGAGCTGGGCGATAAAACAATACCAATACAGTATGTATCGACACGTGATCAGTATCAATAGCAAATGCGTACGATAGAATGCTAATAATTTCACTCCAATCAGGAAATGCAATGCATTCTGGGAGATGCAGGCAAAATTTCTAGGTAGGATTTTGAAAGACGACACTTTAAGCCAACTTTAAGTTTATGAAATCTATGTAGGGAAATAAAAAATGCCCATTGGCTAAAGTCTTTATCTAAAATCAATTCACACCTKRGTCCAAAACCTAACTCCCAACACCTCCAATGGAGTTCCACCMCATTAGGACAGGCCTTGGACAGGTCCTCCAAAATGCTACCAGTCCTTACAATGTAGGTGTTTATACCAGAAATGGYCCTAAAAAGGTAAAATAAATAAATAAAAAATATGGTTTAACAGTGACCTCTAGTGGTAATCTTTGGCATGCTGTTAGGTACATGACAGTTTAAGCTCACACTTTTTTTAAGCACACACGTTTTTGTTGTTTAGGTTTGGTGAGTGACATCACTGCATCATTTTTTTATTTTCCATCTTCTTACTTGTGTTGTTTTGTCTGTCTGCAGGTGATAAGAAGTACATGATGGGCTCAAAGCTGTCAGCGGTYGACGCCGCAGTGTTTGGTCACCTGGCTGCTGCCATGTGGACTCTACCAGGATCCCGACCAGAGCAGCTGATCAAAGGTTGGTATACCATGAAGGAAAATCATATTTGAACTAAAATGCACAGTTTTTGTCTTTTTYCCTTGAAATATGTAGATGCTTTTAGGGTATAAAAACTTCTGTTTTTAGATACTGAACCACAAGAGTAAGGATCAACCTTTATAATCTGTACAAGTTGAATTTGCCTAGAACCATTTTTTATGTATATTAACTGTTTGTCTGCCTGTTAGCAAAATATGTCATGAATCAATGGATAATTTTTAACATAACTATCTCAGGTTGGACACTTAAATACAGTGGTTTGCAAAAGTATTCATACCCCTTGAACTTTTCCACATTTTGTCACATTACAAC